GTGCGCACACGCTGCCGCTCCTGCCCGGGCCCGGGGCGAGCGCGGAAGCGGGGCGGAAAGTTGCTGCTGCCCGGCTCGGACCCGGCGCCTCCTGGGTCGCTCCGGGGCTGCCCTGTGCCCGCACCCGCTCGCCTCTCCCTTCCTCCTGCTGAAACCTCGGCCCGCAGCAGAGATCCGGGCTTTGCTTTCTCTTCAGCCCCGTAGTGTAACCGGGGGGTGTGCGACTCCCAGCCTCTGTGCCCACCCGGTGGTCTCTTCTTTGAAACGCTTTGCCGTAGAAAATGAAGGAAGGATCATAGGAAATTAGGGTTGGTCAGGACCTCGGGAGGCCTTTGTGCATCTTCCCATGACTCTCACTCTTTGAATTTCCCCTTCTTCCTCTGTTGCGGTGCACGCGGATCCCGCGCAGTAACGGGGATCTTCGAAGAAGGCGTTGGGGCAGAACTTGATGCTTCTGAAAACTCAGTAAGGACCTAAGAAAGCGCTGAGCACTGCCCCGTGCTTGCGGTGCTACTTAGTGCCTCAAATTGGGTGCCTGCAATCAGTGAGCACTTAAAAAAATAAACACAATAAAAATAAAAGCTCTTATTTACAGAGAGAGTGTTTGCCAGTTTATACCATGGCATATTAAATTCAGATGCTGTTCTGATCCTGTTGGCTTTCTTTATCCTCCTGTACCCAGAGCTGCAGACTTGTCCTGGCTATAACTGTGTATTGAGCAGAATTTGTCACTGAGCTGTCTGAGATGACACTTAATCTTTTACTGAGTAATTGTAGTTCGTTTAGAAACGAAAACCTTATGTAAATAGTTATGTTCTTCCCCATGTTTTACTGTATTTAGAATCAGAGTGGACTCCTGTTCCCTACCCTTCTTTAGCTTTTCCTGTCCTGAATAATGTCACTTGAAACGCTTCTTGTCATCTCACTTTTTCCTCTTATTGGAGTATCTCTTATTAAATGAGGTATCAAGGTTCTCCCACTTGTGTGGGGAAGTGGCTCACGCAGTTTCATATTGCTCGTGACAAAAACAACAAATACTGAAGAGCCAATAAATATACTTGTGAACTATACACTGTGCCTGTGGTACCTGATCTAGACCAGGGGCGGGCAGTTATTTTGGGCAGAGGGCCACTTGCTGAGTTTTGGCAAGCTATCGAGGGCCACATGACAGGCAGCTCAGGGCAGATAAATATTAATTTTCTAAATTTTGGGGGGGCCTGCAGGCTGGATAGAATAGCCTGGTAGGCCACGTTTTGCCCACCCCTGATCTAGACTCTGTATGAAAAGGTGGGTAGTCTGCAAAATACGATGGGTAAACAGCTATTGAAGGTACAAAATGATTGCACTTTAGTCCAGTCGTTTCATATACTTAAATTGACCTTGGTCTGAAATCTACTATACAGTATTTCATTATTAGTAGTAATGGTACTTGCAGCCTGTATAACACTTAACTTTTTTTTTTGATTCTTTTGTAAAGGAAGATGTAGATTCTTTTATGAAACAGCCTGGAAATGAGACGGCAGATACAGTTCTTAAGAAGCTGGATGAACAGTACCAGAAATATAAATTTATGGAACTTAATCTTGCTCAAAAGAAAAGGAGGTGAGTAACAACTTTTTCTGGGTTTGGAAACTGTTAACTATTTATTTATATTTCAGAACATAATGAGCTTGGTCTTTTGGGTTTTTTTTAATGTTCTAAGGAACGATGGGAAGCATTAGAAAAGCCAGTCATGAAGCATGCTTGGAAAGGTGCAGCTTTTCTCTCCCCCTTTTTTTCTCAAAGACTGAATAGCAACATTTAATAAGTTCCAGGTTATAGATTTGTAAATTTCAAGGCCAGAAGAGACTATTCAAAGTTTAGCTTGACTTCTGGCATAACGCAGGCTTGACGTCTGACACGACCAGATCATTTCTATGTCAACTCAGAACTTCTGGTTTAGTAAGATTATCTCTCTCAGAAACGCATCCGATCTCCATCAAAAATCTTCCAGTGCTTGCAAACTGATAGTGTCAGTGAAAGCCTGCCTAATATTCTCTTGAGAACGTTTTTTTCTAACTTCCTGTCATAATCCGAATAAATAGGAGCAGTCATATCCAAAAGAGGATCTCAACCCAAAGTAAGCACTTGGCATCTTTCAGAGAAGTTTTACCAGCTACCTAGTAATAATTTTTAAAAGCTATTTGGGCTCTTTCAACAAAACTGGAATCGAATCCTGTTACATTTAAGCTAGCAGTAGTCAGGAAATGGATTTCCAAATCTGAGCAATGCTGAGTCTTTGGAAACTTTTTTTTCTTCAGTCCCAAATTAGGACAAGCAGAATGCAGATTCCCAGGGTTAGGGAAAAGTGAAATATTTTTAGGAAAAGGTGAAGTGTTTCTTTTTTTAAACCAAATAAAACTGTGACTGCCTGAGAACTAGCCTGACTGGTGAGTTGCCAAAGAGAGAGTGAGCTTGGGGGTGCTCCAGTGTGGCTTGGTGGCTGCTGGGGAGGTTCAGATGGGTGAACTAGATCAGCAGTTCTCAACTAGGGGCCCATGGCCCCCTGGAGGTCCATGAGCAGGTTTCGGGGTGTCTGCCAAAATAAACTAGAGAGCATAACCAGCGGCCTCGGTGGCGCAGGAGAGCTGGCAAGGAAGGGGCCGGTGCCCTCCCCCTGCTGCAGTGCTGTGGGGCCCACAGGCAGGCAGGGTGGAAGGAATGGTGCTTCCCTGGTGGAGGTGATGAGCTGCTGCCCTTTGTGAGATAGGTGGATCCCCACTCTCTGGGCTGGGCTCAAGGGCAGCAGAGGGGACCGCTGTATCTCGGGGACTCTCCACCCTGCAGGCTGCTCCCACCCACTTCAGCCGTGGCAGGAAAGTGACCTATGTTCTGGGCCCTTTGGGCAGTTCTTCCTGCAGCCAGCGGTGGGGGGGGGGGCGCGCCCATGCCTGGGACTGGCCTCTTGCCTGGAAAACAACAGTGGTTGGAAGGCAAGCCACCTCTTTCGCGTCAGTTCTGCATCACTGAAACCTGTGTGCGTGTCAGCAGGTATGCATGTGTGTCTGTGTGTCAGTAGGTGTGACTGCACCCATGTGGTGTGTGTGCAATCTATGTGTTGCTGGGGATGATTGTGCATGCACATTTGTGACCAGAGTGATTGGTGGAAGGAGCATAAAACCTGTCCACGCATGTGAAACGTGTGTCTGCATGTCAGTGGGTGTGATATTGCGTGTGTTAGAAACCTGTTATAAATCATGATTTATTTAATGTCAGTTATAATAATTGTAACTTATTTTATGCCAATTGTCATTTTTTGTACCTATATTTTTTGCACCTTTTCTTTCTATATTATGTACTACATGCATGTGTGTAGCTGTAACTATCAATTTAATACAGCTTTTAATCTATTGTATATGCAGAAAAAAAGTTGTTGTGGCACAGGTGGGCAATGGGGTTTTTATAGCATACTGTAGGGGACCTCTGGAAGAAGAAGGTTGAGAAACCACTGAGCTAGAAAACAACTTACCAGACATCTCATTGGTTTGAAGTTGCCATATGTCCCTGTGAGTTTGGTTCCAATGAATTGGTACATTTAGGGAAAAAACTATTCCTTCAGAAAACTTCCGGTCAGCTCTAATGCAACGTCAGATGATTGTGCTTGACAGTTCTTTGCATTGGTTGAAGTAGAAGAGAAGACTAAGGGGAGGATTTGATATCAGCCTTTAAATACCTGAAGGGAGATTCCAAACAGCATGGAGCAAGACTGTTCTCAGTGATGACAGAACAAGGAGCAACGGTCTTAAGTTGCAGCAGGGAGATTTAGGTTGGAAATTAGGAAAAACTTTCTCACTGGAATGGGTGACCTAGAGATGTAGTGGAATCTCGGTCCTTGGAGGGTTTTTAAGGCCTGGCTCCACAGCCCTAGCTGGGATGATCTAGTTGGGGCTGGTCCTGCTTTGAGCAGGGGGTTGAACTAGATGACCTCCTGAGGTCCCTTCCAACCCTAACTTTCTGTGACCCCCAGCCATCAAAGTCAAGTTCATTTGTTGAATCTTTTGTCTATTCAGAAGTGGATTGATTGTGTAAAATGTCTAATCTTAATTATGTTTCTTGTTAGAATGACTAGAAGAGTTCTGTAGGTCTGAATGGTCTGTCTGGGCATTCTAAGAGCTCACTTTATTGACTTAATGCTTTAAAATCTAATTTCCTTTAAGGAAAAGAAATCTGTATATCTGCTGAGTAATTTGGGCATTCTTCTTCCAGCCAAGAGAGCAGGCAGATGGCCTTCTGTTTGTTAAACGAGATGTTAACAATAAATGTTTGGTGTACAGCACTTTGAAGCCTGTGTGTTTTGGGCTGATTCTTCATGGAATTAATAACGAGCTCTGGGACTGGAAGGAAGTAAAATGTAGACAAAATATCTTTAGGTAACTTGTCACAACTTGCATTAAATTTTCTTTTTTGTAAATCTAGAAGGCTCTTAGAATTTGAGCTTCTTAGATGGAGGTTAGATCCTATAGTAAAATTATTACTTGTTTGGAAAACTCTGTGTGTGGTGCGTGTGTAGGAAATAGTAAATATGACTTTTTGTTAATTCACAGGCTAAAAAGTCAGATTCCTGAAATCAAACAGACGTTAGAAATTTTAAAACACATGCAGAAGAAAAAGGTAAATTGTTTTGAATGTCTAACGGGTGCGAATGACTAAAGCCTGATTGCTTTTCTACCCAAACAGCACGTTGCAATATGTTTTGGGGAGCATGATTAATTTGCTTTTGTAAAATGACATAATTATTCTTAAGGCATATGTAGTACTTTGTGAAAGCTAGTAAAAAATATATATGTATGCATTTAACTTTACTTTCAATACCATATAACTTGTAGCTAAGCTTGGAATTCATGGGCTAAAGCTAGTGTTTATAGCTATAGCCATTTTGCATATGAATATACCTTCTTAAAGTGTGAAGTGACCCTTGAAACATCTATTTTGAGGTAAAACTTCACAATAGTTCATTATAGCTTTAATACTATACTGTGACCATCAAGAAAAATAAGAATCGTGCACTCCCTACTATAGATTTTATATTACTGTCTTAACCAATTGCAATGAAAATGCAACACATTTCTGTGATCCCTCTTCAGGAGTCCACAAACCCGATGGAGACCAGGTTTTTATTGGCAGATAACCTCTATTGCAAAGCTTCAGTTCCGCCTACAGATAAAGTGTGTTTGTGGCTGGGGGTAAGTAAATACAGAATTTCTCTAAATAAGTGATTTTTGTCCTGATCAGAGGGTTCCCTTGGTACCCCGGAGTGCTACAAGATCCTTTCTAAGAGTGCCGCAGCACCTGGCCTCTTTGCAAGGAGGTAAGTGCTCCGTGTTGCCCTGTGTCTACCCCAGCATCCTGTGGACAGAGGGCATGTGTCTGCTCCTCCGGGGGCTGCTCTTGGCACCCCTTAGTAGCCCCTGTTCCAGCCACCTGTGGACTCTGAGCAGCGAGCTGTGCTGTAGGCAGGCAGACATGGGAGCTGCATACTTGTGCTTTTCAGCCAGGCTTGTTCTCCTTAATTCTTGGAGCCATCAGCAAGGGCTGCCAGGGCAGAGGGCTGCAGTCAGTCTGTGCAAGATCCTGCAGAGGCAGCCCCAGTTGTGGGGGTCACCTTTTACCCTATGCATGTCAAACCAGGGAAGAAGGAGATGGCAAGTTTTGGGATTAGCAGGGTGAAGTCCTGCCTTGACTGCCCTCACCTGGCACCAGCTAGATCAGTAGTTCTCAATTTTCAAGGTCCCCCTTCCAGAGCTGTTCTAAATTTAGGTTATAGCTCAGTAATTGTCAACTAGGTTAATGCTGAATTCAGAAAAGTTATGGAGAGATGCCTGGAAGCTAAAAGGGTTGAATCATGGAAAATTAGGTTTGGAAGGGACCTCAGAAAGTCCAACCCCAAAGTAGGACCATCCCCAGCTATGTCATCTCAGCCAAGGGTTTGTCGAGTCGAGTCTTAAAAAACCTGCAAGGATGGAGATTCCACAACCGTTCTGGGTAGCCCATTCCAGTGCTTTCCTACCCTCGTAGGGAGAGAGTTTTTCCTAATATCTAACCTAAATTGCTGAATACCACTGCTCTCAAACATTTTTTAAATAACACCTAGGTTCATAAAAGATTACTTGTTCATCTCTACCCCCTCACTGGTACAGATAACATACATGGGGAATGAGGAGAAGGCAGCCACTGCCTTTAATGGAGCTGCATGGGTCACATGAAAGGGAAGAATTTGTCTAATTATGGTTTCAAAGAAAAAAAATCTTAGGAAAAATAGTGTGTTGCCTGATAGAGCTACTCTTTCATGTACCAGTGCCCAGTGGAAGACAGTGGGAGTTCTGTGTGCAGATGTTTGCAGAACCTAGTGCCTGTTGTTCCATGGAGAAACAACTTGCTTAGCAATGGTCTCAATTTATAAGACAAAATGAGTTTTTAAGAAAGTGCTATCTACAGTACAGTACAATAACTTTTTTTTTACAAAGTGATGGTCTGGGAGGAGATGATGCTTGACATGCTTTTGAAATGTGTGATTCTTGTTCCTTTCCCAGACACTTCCATATTTAGCTCTTGTCTTTGTCCTTATGAGGTCTTCGGGGACAGTTTTTGTTCTTTCTTTATATACCCTAGCAGAAGGGGTTCTGGACTCCTAGGTGCTGTAGTAGTACAAAAGAATGTGACACTGTTTAAAACATGATCCCTTGAACCTTTGATATGAAGGTTTAAGCAGTGATCTCTTTGACAGTATTGTCACTAATAATTTTAAGATTCTTTACCTATGTCTTTGCAACCCCATTGTCTTTGATTTGGTTGATCTTGTAGCCTGTTTTGGCTCCTGCTTCAACTTAGCTGCTAACCAAACTAACCAAGTTCTAACTCTCCTATGCCCTCATACCTATGCCTCTGAAGCGTTAATGGGAGTAAGAAGTGGTGACAGCTTTTTGCAAAAATCCAGCATAAATTGAAAGTTACTCAGGGACTTGCCTATAGATTCGTATTTACCCAAATCTAACACTAACCCCCTCCCCTGCTCCCCCAGGTCAGCATGGGGAGGGAAGCCCCTTGTCTTAGATTTGTGTATAGTGTGGAATTGGGAGGCAGGTGGCTACTGTGGCTCTGACTCTGAGCTCAAGTAAGGGCCAGAGTCAGACCCACAGCAGCCTCCTGCCCTGCCAGGCACAGTTCTGCTCAGGCTCAGGCTGGATTCCCTCTTAGGCATGGAGCAGCAGCACTCGTGCTGCTGCATGGCCCCTGCCTGGCCAATCACCAGTGCCAACACTGCTGCATGGCCAATGGGCTCTGCTGCCACCAGGTCTGTTCCAAGAGGGAACAGAACCCAAGCAGAGTCTGACATGTTGTAATGGGAGGGGGAGGGGGCAGAGATTGTGGGAGGGGAGGTTGAGGGGCTGTGGGGACCCTAGGGATGGCAGGGCATCGTTGGCAGGAAGGTTGCAAGGGAAAGAAGGTGGGGTAGAGGGCAAAGGGCCACCTGACTCCCTCAGCCACTGCTTTCCCTTCTGTAGCAGTGGCAGAGACGAATTTAAGACAGTCCTCCAATAATTAGTTTCTATACCTGGAAAATTATAATGTTTATAAATTTTTCATACAGAATCTTATTATAGGGGGGTGTCTTAAATTCAGGGTCAACTTAGATTCAAGTAAATACAGTAATGACCATTTGTAACCATATTTATACATTCTAGATTGTCATCTCGGTGTCTCTCTTTGCTTGGTGCAGAAAGATGAATAACTAACAGTATAGTCTGAGTCTGGAATATTTAACCGGCAATTGTGTTGATTATGCATGCAGCAGAATAGAACGTAAGCAGTCTGCAGTTTACATTGATGGTCTGCGTTTTGCAGGAAAAACTCTGGTTTGGCAGTGAAGTAAACGGAGCAGAGCAGTTTAAACGCCACTAAGGATTTTGTCCTATTTTCAGTGCTTATACTTAATTTACTCATATCATCTGAAGACCTGTAAGTTTTCTTGATGACTTATGATCAAATTCACAGATTGAGGTTGCTTCCAGCCCCTTACACAAGATCATCAGGTCCAGCCCCCTTGCACTAGGCAGAAAAAACAACTGGGGTCAGGTGAGCCCAGCAAAGGTGACCATCCAGTCTTCTCTCGAAGAGTTCCAGGGTAGGTGATTGCACCACCTCTGGAGGGAGCTTATTCCACAGTCTGGACACCCTAACTGTGAAGAAGTTTTTCCTAGAGTTGAGCCTGAAGCAGTCTTCCAGGAGCTTGTGGCCATTACTCCTGGTTTTCCCCAACAGTGCCCTGTTGAACAGTTGTTCGCCAAGCCCTTGATGTACTCCCCTGATGTAGCGGTAAGCTGCTACCAAGTCCCCTCTCAGCCTTCTCTTTTTTAGGCTGAAGAGGCCCAAGTCCCTCAGCCTCTCCTCGTATGGTCTGCCTTGCAAGTCTCTGATCATACAGATGGCTCTTCTCTGGACACTCAAACTTTTCCACATCCTTGTAGAAGTGCAGTGCCCAGAACAGGATGCAGTACTCCAGCTGCAGTCTCACCAATACTTCGTAAAGTGGAAGAATAACTTCCTTGGTTTTGCATGAGATGCATCGGTTGATGCATGCCCAAGTATTGCCCTGCTGGCTACAGCATCATACTGATAGCTCACGTTCATGCTACGGTCTGTTATTACCTCGGTCCCGTTCAGTTGTGCTAGTCAAATTGGCACCACCGAGCCTGTAAGTAGGTTGTCCCCAGATGGAGCACTTTACACTTCTCATTGTTGAACTTCATCTGGTTCCGATCCACCCAACTCTTCAGCCTGTCCAGGTCTGCCTGTATCTGCAGCCTATCTTCAAGTGTGACCATGCTCCCCCATAGCTTGGTGTCATCTGCAAAATTGGCCAGCGAGCTTCTCACCCCCTCATTCACAATTGGCCAGCGAGTTTCTCACCCCCTCATTCAAATCATTGATAAAGATGTTGAAAATCACTGAACCAGACAGATCCCTGAGGGATACCACTGGCCACTTCTCGCCAGGGTAAAACAGATCTTTTCATTAGGACTCTCTGGGTCCTACCCCGCAGCCAGTTTCTTACCCACCTAACCGACAAGCAGTTAAGTCCACAATCCTCCAGTTTTCCTAAGAGAACATGGGATACCAGACCAAAGGCCTTTTGGAAGTCTAGGTATATAATTTCAACCTTCTCTCTCTCATTCAGATGGTGAAATACCTGGTTGTAGAAGATGATTGGTAAGACAAGACCTGCCTGCAACAAAGCCATGCTGGCTGTTGTTCAGAATCCTACCTTCCGCAAGCGTATCACACACAGACTCCTTGAATTTTTCCAGGATTTTCCCTGGGATTGAAGTTAGGCTAATTGGTCTAAAGTGGCCTGGGTCCTCTCCTCCCTTTCTTGAAGATGGGCACAACATTGACCCTCTTCAAGTCTTCAGGGACCTCCTCTGAGCACCGGGTGTTTTGGAAGAGTTTCCCCAGAGGCCCCATGATGACCTCCGCCAACTCCTTCAGCACTCTCTGGTGAAGTGAATCTGATCCTGCTGATTAACTGATCGCGCACCAGCTCAGTGTCAACGATAGGAAGGCGGTCAGTCCTGCCATACCCCCTCTGAACTTCATCTTGCATGATTTTCCTCTTGGTCCAGTGAAATACCAAAGCAAAATAGTCATCCAGGAGTTCGGCTTTTTCTTGAGTGTTGGTAACCAGCTGTCCTGAGGTGTTAAGCAGTGGCCCCACACTTCTGTTTTTCCTTTTGTTCCCAAAATACCTAAAGAAGGACTTCTTATTGTCATAGATTCATAGATGTTTGGGTCAGAAGGGACCTTAGCAGATCGAGTCCAACACCCTGTCCTTGATTCCCAGTCCTAACTTAAATTCAGTTGCCACCTTAGCTTTCCTAATCTTGTCCTACAAGTGCAGGCTGTTGTTGTATAATCCTCTTTGAGGACTGTCCCAAGCTTCCATTGTCTGTATGCCTCTCTCTTCTTGTTCAAGACCATGATATCCCTATAAAGCCAAGAGGGCCTCCCAGCCCTTCTGCTACCGCAAGGGAATGGTCGTTTTTTGTGCTTCTAGGAACACGTCCTTGAGGAATGACCACTCCTTGTGTACTCTGTTCAACTTTTAGTCCCTGGTCCTGCAGTGCTTCCCCAACTGTTGCCTTGAGCTGTTGAAATTTGCTTTTTTGAAGTCCAAAATTTCAACCCTGCTAGTTGATTTGGCTGCCTTGCAACGGACAGTGAACATGATGATTTTGTGGTTACTGTTGCCCAGGATACCTTCTAGATTCAAGCCACTCACCAGATTGCCTCTTTTGGCGAAGGCCAAGTCTAGGAGAGCATTACCTCTGGTTGGCCCTTGTACTTCCTGAGTCAGAGCTCTTCGATGCAGGTCAGGAAGCAACATGACCAATCCCACTTGGCCGAGTGTTCCTCCCAAGCAATGTCTGGGTAATTGAAGTAGCCTGTGACAACCGTGTCCTGTGGGTGCATGACCTGTGCCGGTTCTCAAGAACTCCAGACTAACCTCTTCCCCCTGGCTTGGTGGTCTGTAGTATATATCTACAGTTATGTCTCCCTCACCACACCGTCCCCCCCTGCCTGTAGTTTCACCCAGAGGGTTTTGAGCCACTCTTCTTTGGAGCTGATGTCAGCTTCCAAGGAGGTGTACTGCTCCCTCACATGGAGAGTTACACCTCCACCTTTCTTCCCTACTCAGTCCCTTCTGTGCAGTGTGTAGCCCTCTATAGCTGTGTTCCAGTCATGTGAGGAGTCCCACCATGTCTCCATGATCGTAATTAATTGATAAGTAATGGATTAAAAGTATTTGAATTATTGGACTGTGGTTCTGGATACCAGAATATCTGACTTGAGGGCACAGTAATACAATTTATTTTAATATTTGGGCCTGCTAGTGTTTTCTGCATTGGTTGGCCATCTCTGACTGCTTCCAGTCACATTCATTAAGCACTTGCATGTTCTAAAACCCAAATGTCCCTGCTTTTACCAGTGCTTAGATACAAAGTCCCAGTCAGTGGTTGGGTCAGAGCTTGAAAACAAGAAGACCCTTAAATATTGAAGCAGTACCAAGCCAGCATAGTCTGTATTCAGACACTCCCTTATCTGCAAAGATACTTATTCTGAGACTTATGAGGTAAGTCCCTGACTGAACTCCCCGTGCATGTGTGTCTGCCTGAACAGCAGTGTCTGGTTAAGACAAAAATATTGTCAACAGACGCACAGCTGAATAACACTCATGAAAGTGATGGAGGCTGCAAGTGGATCCCTTCATCCTTGTTGCTGTGTCTGTAGCCTGGATGTAGGCATGTTGGTTTCTCTCTGCATATATTACAAACAGTCTGATACATTTATAAGTTCTCCTTGGAGTAAAAGCGTTATCAGAATTTAAATGCCTCCTCCTTTTTCAGGCCAATGTGATGCTTGAATATGATATTGATGAAGCCCAGGCTCTATTAGAAAAGAATCTTTCCACAGCTACAAGAAATCTTGATTCACTAGAGGAAGATTTGGATTTTCTTAGAGATCAGTTCACCACTACGGAAGTCAGTATCCTTTCTGAGGGCAAAAACCTTTCAAGACTGCTGCACAATTTTTTCCACCTTTTTAGGAAAGGAAGTATATTTAGTGCTGTTTTATTTGCTTTCAGTTTCTGAAGGGGTAGAAACACTTTCCCAAGCAGTGAAAATGGATCATGTCTCTCAAGTTTGGTGTGAGGAAGGGGTCACTTAACGTATAATTTGCCTGTGAGCAAGCTGCCAGTATAATGTGATGGCTGCTCCTGTTCTAAATGTGCAATTCAAAAACAGGCCATATCCATATCCAGGTTACCTTACTGGGGCAGGCAGTGGTGCCGCAAACATGGTTGCTGCGCCCCATGTGCACTACCTTCTGTATCTGGAACAGTGTAGCTGCTTATGCAGTGCTGCAAGTGGACTGGTTGTTGCTACTAAGTGCCAATGCTGGCTGGCCCACTCACACCATGATTGAAACTATTCTGCCTTCAGTTCAGGAGGCAGCCAACCCGGAGCAGTACAGCATGTTTGTGCTAGATAACCTCAGGATGCTATGTGTGGACATGCCCACAGGTAAGAGCTTAGAGTTGTTGGCCATTTGGATTTACTGACATGCTGGAGTATGACCAAGTACTATTTTGGATTATCCACCAGCAGTGTCCAATTCTGCTGCTGGCTCACGGTTGTTCGGAGCAGTGTTTACAGTCCTAAATGAACATCTCCAGGCTTTTCACAGTGTGACGCTCATTTTGCATTGTTTCTTCATCTTCAAATCTGTCCTTTCTGAGGAGCACACTCTTTAATGTGGCTGGCTGATTAATTAAATAGTGCTTGGTATCACGAGGGAGCTATTACTGATGGGAGTTGGGCATCATGACTGCCTGAACTAATCTTTCTAATGTTTATGAACTAGTCATGTAGTCTTTGTGCAAGTTAATCTTTTAAGATGCCACCTTGCCCACATGTCAGCCTGACTTCAGACTAACATGACTACCTCCAGTCTGAAACGTGTATGACAGCTACGGGATTGGTTGTGACTGAAACTGCGCACTTTTGGAAACTAAAGTGCAAGTAAATATGAAAAGACAAAGGTACATGCAGAAAGGACATGGGCATCCCTATTTTTTTTTTTTTTTTTGATACTGAACAAAGGGTTCTGTGAAGAACAGGGTCAGTAACGAGTATGGGCATCTGCGTGCGTCAGCTGTCAGAATTTCTACAGCATCAAGGTTCTGTACTACCAGTCAGCTGTTTTGTTAATCAGCTCCTATATTGTCATTCATGAATCAGTGTAAGGAGAGATTAATTTGCTAGGACATAATTATAGAGTGAGTGGGTGCATGTGTGTGTGTTTGCAAAAAAAAAACAAAAAAAACCCCCAGACCTAGTTCCTTAACTATACCCTCAGATATGGCTAGAGTTTATAATTGGGATGTAAAGAGAAGAAACAAGGATGATCCTTCAAAAAACAAAGCATAGTTTGGCCAATTTTAAATGTGGTCTGTTTCCAAATACTTTTTTTTTTTTTATTATTATTATTATTATTATTATTTTAAATGCCCCCAAAGTTCATCCTTAAGGGACTGAGTTTAATCACTTCAATAAATGATAAAATATATAAGAAATGAAAAATAATGGCAAGCACCATGTTATTTATTTGTAAACGCAAAATTTGGTTTCATGCATGCTTCAGGAAATGATTAATTATTTGAAGAGATGCCACACAGTCCAACAAGGAACGTAGCGTTTTCAACCAGATCAGTCTGTTTGCCATAAGTAATTTCTTATATATTTTATCATTTATTGAAGTGATTAAACTCAGTCCCTTAAGGATGAACTTTGGGGGCATTTAAAATAATAATAATAATAATAATAATAA